GAGGGCTTCCATCGCGGGTAGGGAGGCTGCCTGGATCTGCCTGGAGCTTCCTGGATCTGCCTGGAGCTTCCTGGATCTGTCTGGAGCTTCCTGGATCTGCCTGGAGCTTCCTGGATCTGCCTGGAGCTTCCTGGATCTGCCTGGAGCTTCCTGGAGCTGCCTGGAGTTTCCTGGATATTTCTATAGCCTGGAGCCGCCACGATCCGCGTGAGAGGCGTTCCCTGGAACCCCGACAGGTCCCCCAGCCCGACCCGGGGCGTCGCAGACCAGAGGGCTCATAGGCGACATTCTCCCCCGGATGACTGCCCGCTGAGCGGCCCGGCGTATGGACGTTAGCGGACATGGCCTGGGCCCGAGGGTCAGGATGGACGTTAGCGGACATGCGGTACCTCGACGGCCGGTTCGGGGAACCGGCGGAGGGCTAATCCCAGCGGGGACCGCCAAGTGTGTCGTTTGCGGACATGCGGCGGCGTCGGCGGCCTACCTAGGGACCGTCAGGCGCCACTAAACTCGGGCTGAGGGCAAAGACGATAGGTTGGTATCAGAGTATGTATTCAGCACTTGAACTAAACATTAACGTGTCAGCAGCTAGTACTGTCTGACTGTGTCTGACGGAGGAGCGAGATCCAGCACGGGCAATCGGGCAATAGACACTTTCTCGCAGGCAAATCGTCGTTTGCGGCAGTAATCAATTCCTGAATTCAGATGGGCGTCGTTCCATGCCAAAGCGTTGCGCGGAGCGATAGCGAAGCGCAACGCTGCACTGATAATAACATTACTGATTTACTGTATTCAGTTAGGTTTGTTAGTTTTGGTTGGCTTTTTATTATTTCTAAGATACACTTAGCCGAACAGATGATTATCTAAGAATATCTTTACTGATTTTCTGTATTGAGTTAGGTTTGCTAGTTTTGGTTTGCTTCTTCTCGGTCGCCGCCGGCCGCCGCCGCCGCCGCATGTCCGCAAACGACACACTGGGCGGCCCCCGCTGGGATTAGCCGTCCACCGGTACCCCGAACCGACCGTCCAGGTACCGCATGTCCGCTAACGTCCATCCTGACCCTCGGCGCCCAGGTCATGTCCGCTAACGACACAACGCCGAGCGGCCCAACCCCGCTCCACCTGTAAAGACGCCCTTCCGCCGCACGCTTGCGGGGGTCGAGCCCGCCGCATTGCCCAACTCTCTCTCTCCTCACCCGGTTCGACTTCGGGACTTCGGGGCACAAGTACACCTCGATATCGTGCTCGACATGTTGGCCCACTCGAGCTCGGCCAGCACCTCGCCCAAGCCCACCACCGTCCCCCCCTCCCCTAGCCCCGGGTCGCCGCCCTGGTCGCCGGCCCGCGGCCCTCTGTTCCGGGGCTGGGCCTGTAGTATACTCGTCCAAACTTTCGTGACCACTCGAACTAAAACTTCAGCGAGGCCCAAACAGCAGCAGCGGTGGTCGACGACGACGACGAAATCAAGTTCGGCGCACTGGAGTGTTCCGCGGAGAAAAGGCGAGGCGCTGGGGGTTGGTTATCGGGGGTGCGGCGGCGGGCCTGGGAGGGGCTGGGTATGATCTCCAGCGCAAACAGCGCGGAAAGGGCGAGCAAGTAGTCGAGAGAAGAGGACCCCTCCTCGCGCGCGCCTGCCGCTGACCGGCCGCCGAGTCTTCTCCTCGGTAATTAGGCCGTCCAAGGGGCATCGGCGTGTAATCGCGCTCGAGCAGCGGAGATCCTGGA